GAAGTCCAGATGTTCTAGAACATCAACATTGATTATCATTTAAACTTTCCAATCAGGTATCTGTTACCATGCAGACACTGTCTCCTCAAACACTGTTCGTCATTTACTCTGTGTTTATGGAATCACTTGACAAATACTTTTATTAAACATATGGTCCAGGGCGCCTGGGTGGCTCAGTTGGTTAAGCGACTGCCTTCGGCTCAGGTCATGATCCCGGAGTCCTGGGATCGAGTCCCGCATCAGGCTCCCTGCTCAGCGAGGAGCCTGCTTCTCCCTCTGACCCTCCCTCCTCTCATGTACTCTCTCTCTCTCTCATTCTCGCTCTCTCAAATAAATAAATCTTAAAAAAAAAAACATATGGTCTGTGAGTTCATCAAGTGAGAGCACTCACAAAACATGCCATATGACAACTCACAGTCCCAATTTTCCATTTGGTAAGTAACATTGTTTGTCTTGTATCTACGATCTCAATTCACAGAGTGTTTTCATTTCTTCATGGACACCAAATGTTCAACTTGGCTATTGAAACACTTTTGTTTATTTTCCTCCCAAATTAGTTGAACAGCTGAGATGTTACAGGTTTTTCTTTCCTTTCCCTTTTTCTCTTTGTCTCTTTTGAGTTCTCTAATTTTTTTCAAGAAGATCACCCTCAAGGCTATCACACATGACATACTGTTGTAAAGACCATTGATTTGACTCTGAAAATTGCACAGGCATATTCATTCAGAGGGTTGAAAACACTGTTGAAGGATTATTGTGGCAGGGAGTGTTCTTTTTCTGTAGATTGAATTCATCTGTCATTCACATTCTGTTTCCAAGCACTCAAGAAAGTCCTGCAATAGTCTATATCTTACATATTAGGCATATTATATATCATGCATACTGCATTATTATATGTAATCTATGTATTACAATATATGATAGTTTAAAAAGTGTTTTACCTTGGGCATTTTCAAACAGATCTAAAGTAAATGGAATAGTATAAGGAATCAGATGCCTGATTGGAAAGTTTAAATGATAATCAATGTTGATGTTTTAGGACATCTGGACTTCTGGTCCTCTGTAGAAGCAGAAACAGGCAGTAAGGAGTACAGGAGTTGAAGGGAAGGATGTGGTCGTTTTTAAAAATGTACTCCAGTAAAAGCTCAGCAAAGAAGAGACGTATGAGGAAGCCACACAGAGGCGTGCTGGGAGGAAGGATTCCCGGTGGAGTGCAGCAAGTACAAAGGCCCTGAGGTCCGGGGTGTTAGAGAAGCACCAAGGAGGCTAGTGTGTCTGGGTCAGGGTGAGCACCGGGAAGGAGTGGGAGATGAGGGGGAGGTGAGACCGTGACCCAGTTCTGACAAGGTCCCTCTAACCCTACGGGGTCTCTGCAGTAAAGACTGCCCATCTGAGTGATCATGGTCTGGTAGAAAATGATGAAGCTTCTGTGCTACTCCTTGGTCACTGGCGGGGGCCACTGAGAAGACCATGAGCTCACTGGAAAGCTGGGGAGGACCCTATTGATCCAGCAGCCAGAGGCTGTCAGCGCAGCCCACTCCCCACGGCGGAGTAATGACAGCTCTGTTGAAGAGGGATCTGAGCGGCTCACATCCTTTCATACATAAGCAGAGCCTTATTCCAGTAAATAAAATAAAATGTCCAAGCTAACAGAATATCTCCAAATTCAAGTCACACTGAAAACTCTACCCCTCCCTTGGCTGAGATCTGCTTCAGGCTTGGAGGCCTTCAGGGGAGGAGATGAGCGACATAGCTGGCTTCTCTCTCCCTTGCTCACCTCCTCTCCGGCTTAATGAGTCCAGCCAAAGGGGAGAAGGGGCTAGAAGAAAGAAGGGCCCATTACAGTGGAGTTGGGGCCCCCTGGGCCTAGTAAGCGTTCAGGGAGGGCCTAGTGAGCGAGGCACGGAGAGTGAGGCACCTGCCTCAGGCACAAAATTTAAGGGGGGCATCCAGAAACTCAATAATCAAGATAAATATTTTAATGGAATGGTTTTTTAAATAAGAAGTAATGCAAAAAACCCAGGATGAGCTGGTATCCCATTTTCCCCAGGTGGCCAAGGAGCTATTGAGGCGATTTGAAGAGCTGCATTTAACATTACGTTCTCTAATCATGGGGAATTACGTGTAGCTCTGCAAATCTGCCTTGCCTGCCAGCCCTCACCTCTGTGAGCAAGGCCTTCCTCACCTTGCCAACCTGGCACGCCTCTCATTCCTCAGGATCCAACTCAGGGGTCTCCTACTCCTCCAAGCCTTCCTTGACTACTGTTATAGACTAAATGTTTATGTTTCCTAACGTTCACACGTTGAGGCTCTAACTCCCAAAGTGAGGGCGTTAGGAGGTGCGGCCTTTGGAAGCTGATGAGGTCATGAACTGGAGCCCTCCTTCGTGGGTAGGATTAGTGCCCTTATAAGAAGAGACCCGGCAGAGCTTGCTTCTTTCTCCCCACCACAGAAGGAAACCGGGAAGAAGCCCTCACCAGACCAAATCTGCTGGCACTTTGACTTCCCAGCTGTGGTATTTTGTTATTGGAGCAGAGCTGACTAAGATGGCCACCCCCACCCCTCCCATTGCTCCATGGCTCAGAAGGATTTTCATACCCTTCAGTGTACCGCCCATGTACCTCCCACACCCTCTTCACAACCATTCATACAGCCCTAGCCCACGGTGATCTCCTCTAAATCACAAACACCTTCCCTCCGTTTCGAGAGAGGAGCTGGCACTTCACGGATCCCTTAGATTTTTCTCGCAGCAATACTTTGGGCATCGCTGTTTCTTCTTTTAAACTGCATAAACTCTTTCAATGTATTGATGTACCATAGTTTGTTAAACAGTCACCCTAAGGTGGTTACTTAAGTTTTTCTATCTTTTGCTATAAAAATAATGCGGCGATGACTCTTGATGTATCCACATTCCTTTGTACTTGAATTGGATATTTGATCAAGAATCCAGTGACAAGGAGGAATCACATTTGAGATCCTGTTCAAGCTTTATGTTTTGCTCAGAGATCGTAAGCTTTTAAATTCTCACTATGTAGCACTCATCTTAACTTTTTCTTACTTTCTTTCCTTTTTTTTTTTTGCATATTCTTAACTCAGAACTCATTGTTTAAATCCTCAAATAGCTTTGACATATACAAACAAATTGGATGTCCCCTGCATCTTCTTTTTATCCAATTTTCTGATGAGGACACACTACGAAGCTCAGCGTAAGATCAACAAAAGAAAGAAAAGAAGAGAAAACACAAAGTTCCATGACTTCATGATGCCAAGGTGTCTCCTGTTGAGCGGCTCTTCTGGGACAGAGCAACTACATGGAGCTGCCTCTGTGCTAATTCTCAGATTTAAGAAGATAGAAGCGCATGGAAACAATTACATAGAAAAAAAAAATCAAGAAAAGTTAAAAGAATTCTTAGGATAATGAAATGCAACAAAAACACAAGCTTAGAAACATCTTTGAAATTCAAACTAGATTTCTTGTTATTTGGGAGTGGTTGAAGGCAGATGGAAGAACCACACAGGTCTGACACCAACAAATCCCCCCCAAGTTCCATTGCTGTTTTGTAAGGGATAGTGTATGTGTGTGTGTGTCCGTATGTGGATGTGTGTGTTTAAGAATATGGTGTTCAAAACAAAAACAAAAACAAAAAACCCAGACCAACCATTTATAAACAAATCTTCCCAAGTTTCAAGAATTTTCTGACAAAATATCTGATGTCATCTCAGAATCTCAAAGTCCCCAAGAACAAGCTGATTAGCTGAAGGCTGACCTCAGAGGGGACTCATTCATTAGCCTAATGTTTCGAATGCCCATGGCAAAGGGATGAAGATGAACGTTGGAACTCTCATTCCTCCCTCCTCTGGGAACTCGCCCCTCCATTGACTTCAAAAATGTAACCCCGAGGAAGCCTCACCTTTGGGGATAACTCACTGATCTTCCTCTAGTCTCAGACCATGCCAAGCAAAGGGGTCAGGTGGACTGCTGGGTTTCACCTGGAAGAAAAATTTCTCCCTGAAGCATCACCTTTCCCCTCCGCCCCTCAGATGCATGAACATGGTCTGGTGGGCTTATACCATGGTCCATGGCCCTTCCTCATGAGCCACAGTGACATCGAGAGAGCCCCTGCACTCCTATAGGGGCAAGGCACCCCAAAGCCCAGAGCCCCTCAGCTTGGGTTTGCATGTGAGCACACGTCACTTGTGCTCATCCATGGGCACTCCTGGACTGGGGCCTCTTTCCCTGGGAAGATGCAAAATAGATTCCTGCCTTCTTCCTGCTTCTCTTATCATTTCCCTCCTACCCTCACTTTGTTTTTCTGTGACCTCTAACTCCAGCCTCTCCAGTCTGATACACTGGACCAAATATTAGCTTTGCCGTCCAACAGATTAAGTCTTAATCTGGCTCTGCCACTGAGACGGTGTGGGATCCCGGGTATGTAATGCCATTGCCTAGAAGAGTTGGTTCCTGGGGCGCCCGGGGGGCTCAGGCATCAAGCACCTGCCCTCGGCTCAGGTCATGATCCTGGGGTCCTGGGATCGAGCCCTGCATTGGGCTCCCTGCTCAGCGGGGGGCCTGCTTCTCCCTCTCCCACTCCCCCTGCTTGTGTTCCCTCTCTTGCTGTCTGTCAAATAAATGAAATCTTAAAAAAAAAAAAAGCGTTCGTTCCTATTTCCTCTTGTCCCACCCAAAACCAAAAACAGGCCTAAAGCTTGCATATTCATAAGGATAGTCCAAAATGATATATAAGACACTCATACAGAGGTTACCTGCTGGAGGGGCATAGGAGCCAGGCAATTTGGGAACAAAAATAGGAAGGACAATTTTGTTGCATATCTTCTTAAACTTCTAGCTTTTGAATTACATAAATATATTATCCATTCAACAAAAGTATAATAAAAAAAATAAGAAATACTTCTGCAGAAAAAAAATCACCTCGTGTAAATCAAATCTGACTTTGCCACAGATAAAACATTATAATAGGTTTATTTTGTTTAATGTTGATTAGTTTTGACAAATGAATTTTTTTCTTAAAATGGCCATAAATATTAAATATAATGAATTGTATCTGCATTATGTATAAGGTGATAAATAAAAACTGTATTACTTCTGTTCTCCTTTCTTATTCCATCCACTGAGTCACGAAAATCTCTTGAGTAAAATGTTAACATTCGTAAAGCACTTCAAAGTCTACAAAGGCCTTCATATGCTCAGTCTAATTAAGATCTTCCAGCCACAGAAGCAGCCAGAGCAGGCCCAATTCTTCACGTCCCAGCTGAGGAAATGAGTTCCAATTCATTCAAGGTCACAGAACAAGCAAGTGACAGAAGTGGCATTTGAATCCAGTTCTCCTGGCTCTTCATGATGCCATGATGTTTCCTCCAATTTCAGGGCAGAATTCATATGTGAAATGTTCAAATTTAGCTTGAGAGACTGGAAGAGAAAAGTAAGACTTAAATAACTATTCTGTTGACAACACCATCATAATTCAAACATGCCGTATTTTACACTTCACTGCTTCCATTTCTCTATTCTTAGCTCTCCAGTGTGTTGCCCAGGAATGCTGGACACCGTCTCTGACTCCAAAGTGTGTGTTTGTAGTGTGTCCCTCCTTTGAAAGGAGTTCAGAGCAGAGAGCTGGAAATAGTTGGTCTGGATGCGAAAAGAAAATCAAACTTTCTCTTACTCTGCAGAGCGTGATGAGCTAGGATTAATACCCTAAGATGGCAAGACATGCAGCATAGCACCCTCGGGAAAGATTATGCCTACATATTTGGTTTAATTTAAGGGAAAATGGTAAATTGGATTTTTATGTGTGTAACATATTATGAAAAAAAGGTACAGAAAAGGAAAATTTCACTGGGTTTTTTTTTTTCCACTCCCACAAGCAGTTCTCTTTTTAGCAGCAACTGGAGAAAGCTAAACATTTATTTATATCTTTTCACTGTTCCATATTGTCTTGTCATCATCTTTGGTTGAATACAATGGAGTTTTTCAGTGAGAGGGTCCTTTGTTAAGGACAAATCTAACTGCAGAGATTAAACACACATATACACACATACACACACGTACACATGAGCTAGTATTCCACGCTGCAGTTATTTTAAGGATTTTGAAATCAGAAAGCCTGGCTCAAGCCCTACCCTGGTCCTTCCTACCTGTGAAACTTTGGGCAACAAACTCAAACTTTCTGAACACTCACTTCCTATCTTAGAATCATGGGGCAGTCAAGAAAGATAATGAATTTAAAGTAAAAATATACTTCTTGGAATATAGCATTCATTCATTCATAATCCACTCAATGGATACTTAGCACCTCTTCTGTGCATGTCCTGAACCCATCCCTGGAGACATAGCAGGGGGCGAATCAGCAGCTCCAGCCCCAGGAAGTTCACATTCTCTGAGGGGGGACAGACAATAACAAGATAAAATTTTAAAGAGTAGCCATAAAAATATTGGGGTTAGAGGAGAGAACGTTAAAGGTTTTAAGCAGATTGTTTAGGGAAGACTGTAGTAAGAAAGAATAAATTTAATAAATGTTATTTATAATGATTATGGTGGTGACATATATTCCACATTCATATATTATATTTGCAATTGTCTGTGAGTAGACCAATGAGTTTAACTCTATTACTGGCAAACGTAGAAGATAATCATACACACACATTGACAATGGTCACGCTCTTCCTGCTTTTCTGCAAATAATTTAATATCCTAGAATTTTTCTATGGCTCCCTGTTATTAAACACTTGGTTTACATATAATTTTATAATACATCTGGTATAGAGGTTATAATAATGTTATGATCAAAACCAGTCTGAACCTATCAAAATCAATATATAAGGTAGATCTAGTCCTTTTTAAAAAAATGCTGTCTGCAGGGTGGAGTGTCCATTTTGCATTTCCTTGACGTAATAACCTCGCTTGCCCCCCGTGGGAAGTTCCCTTTGAAGCAATTTTCACACCCAGAGAAAACAGGCCTCTGTGCCGTTCGTTACTTTTCAGAAAATAGAGTCTTTATCCACATCCCTTCTGTGATGATGACCCCACTTAACTCTTCCCTTTATTTCTTACCTTCTGGTGTTTCTCTTTCTCCTTTCCCTCTTCTGTTTTACCTTCTCTCAGATTCCTCCCTCTGGTCCTCTCCTCCTTCTTTTTTCAGCCTTGTCTCCCTGTAAGTTCCTTGGAGAAGAGGAGGCATTTTATCATCAAGTGAAGACATCTCAGACTATGCAGAATAGGAATCCCTCCAATTCTTTACCCTCGGCAGCTTGAATCATCGGAAAGCTTGGCTCAAATCTCTAATGGCAAAGAAGGAAGAATGGCGCCGTGTACCAGCCGTGTGGCCCCAGGTACCTCGACCTCTCTGAATCTGTTTCCTCAGTGGAACACATATTTTCGGCTTAAAGCTTGTGTTATGGCATTGCAAGGCAGCAACTGCTGAGTGGTGTAAATTAATGAAGTCTTGAAGGATTATGGTCATCTCATTTCATGTTCCAATAACTACATTCATAACTTTTTTTTTAAGCGTGTGGTGTACTGTAGGCCCTAAAAATGAGTTACCTCACTTAGCACTGTTCTCAGCAATTTGCTCTTTGAGCCCGATCCTTCCCTTCTGCCCTTCCCAGTGTCTAAAATGAGCTCTACTGGGGCACCGGGGTGGCTCAGTCGGGGAAGCGTCTGCCTTCGGCTGGGTCAGGATCCCAGAGTCCTGGGATCGAGCCCCACGTCAGGCTCCCTGCGCAGCGGGAAGCCTGCTTCTCCCTCTCCCACGCCCCCTGCTTGTGTTCCTGCTCTCGCTGTGTCTCTCTCTGTCAAAGAAATAAATAAAATCTTAAAAAAAAAAAAGGAAAGGAGCTTTACTTTTTCTGGTATCTTTGGGTTACTGAAACAGCAGGTCCTTTCTTCCCAACCTAAAAACCCTTGCTTGGGTCTGGAGCGTTGTCTTTACGGCCAGGTGCTGAGAGGGCCAGGGCAGGAACGTGGCCTGGGCTAGGGCGCTGGGGCCCCTCCTTCACCACACCATATGGCCTCGGAGGACCAGCACTGGAGTTTCATTTCATTGACATTCTTGTAGAAAATCATTGACAATAGCATTAGCAGTCACCGGCTCTTTTCATTGTCCGAATAATCCTTGTCTGTTTTTGTGCAGACGTTGCCTTGCTCCTCGGTCAGCTGTGAGCGTGTGGACTCCTCGTCAGTGATGTGGACACTGCCCAAATAGTAATCAACGCAGAAACTTTAGAAAATTACCAACAGATTACGGCTTCTGTGGGCCAGCACTTTCGATGCCAGCTAGCTGGGGGGCTTTTTTGTTCGGGTTTGTTTGTGTGTGTGTGTTTCTGTGGGGGTTTTTGGTACTGGAGCAGGTTGTGATTTACAGGAAGCCTTTGTGGAGGTAAATGAACATACGGGGCTCACACCCAATTAACAAGCTTGGACAGACGAGGGCACATACATGGTGTATTTGCAAGGATAAGCAACAACTGAGAAAACTGGGGATCCTTTTCTCCCTTTCTCTTACCATAATAATCTGGGACAAATTTAATACAACCCTGTGTTACCCCATCATAGCGCTCTATGTTGTGAGGAATGCCAAAGAAGTAAGGGACATATCCTGCCTGTCAAGGGCAAATGTAAGGAGGTTGGATCACAATGACCATAGTAAGAGTCACTTACCAGGATAGAAAAAAAAAATAAAAATAAAACTGCAAGTTTCTATTCACATTTACCTACTTTGAAATCCAAAAGATAGGAGTGACATACCACCTAAGTTAGATGCAAAAGGAAATATCTTCGTCTTACCCCTGCTTCTGCTACACACTCAGTTCCCCCCGCCCCCAAGGGTCCTTCAGCTGGCCCTCAATGACTGCTCTCACCTATATTTTATAGGTTCCCCAAAGAATTTCTGCTTCTGTGAGGCCACCTCAACCATGATGAGATGGAAAACCACGGAGAGCACTGCAGAGTCCCACAGCATCTGGCAAATCACTAGAGCTTTCTGCTGCCCAAGGGCTCCAGACCTGGGCTTGTCCCATGTGGTCCCTGCCCACCTTCTACCTCAAGGAGACTGCTACTTTATTCTTTTTTTTTAAAGAATTAACACTATGGCTATTTAAACAGCTATACAATATTTTCTCTAGTCTGACCTATGTCCTTCCTTTACACGCATGTTTAAACGGTTTCCAAAAAACTCAACCTCCCGTGAAGCATGAATTTTTAATGATTTAGATCAGTTTTGTCATCTCTACTGATTTTAGCTGAAAGATGTGTCCTGGTAATAATGCGAATTTAGATTTAACAGGTCAACTTTTATTTCAACCCTATTGAGTTTGGAAAGAGCCCTAGAAACCAAACCCCAGGGATCCTGGGTGGCTCAGTCGGTTAAGCGTCTGCCTTCAGCTCAGGTCATGATCCCAGGGTCCTGGGATTGAGCCCCACGTCGGTCTCCCTGCTCAGTGGCGAGTCTGCTTCTCCCTCTGCTTCTGTGGTTGCTTTCATCTCTTGCAAATAAATAAATAAAATCTTAAACAAACAAACAAACAAAAAAACCAAACATCTCAAGAAGTCTGGTAAGTTCCTCTACTCCATTTTCCCATCTGTCAGCAGGATGCCACTTAGGGCCACACAGTTTCCATATCGCACAAATTCCAGAAACACGGTTCACATCATGGTTGAGCAAAGGCAGCCTGTCTATAATTGGACAAGGGGTGGGCAAATTAAATGATCTTCAAAATCCCTTTGAGCTAAAATTTAATTATTATGTCAATGTGGTACTCCAATTTTTCTCTAAATTTTCTTCACATTTATTTTTAAAGTATCATTTTACCAATTTTTTTCACATGTGTTCTGGACAAAATTTGCTTTAAAAATATTTTGAATTTAAGTTCATGTGCTACTTTTAAGAAAATGAAATAATAAATATAAAAAAAATTTAATGAGTTTTAAATCTTTACGAACCCCACAAAAATCAAAATCCTGTAACTCGTATAACATGTCATAGAGATAATCTACACAGTGGTTTTTTTCCCTTTTAATTTTTATTTAAATTCAATTAATTAACATCTAATGTATTATTAGTTTCAGAGGTAGAGGTCAGTGATTCATCAGTCTTATATAATACCCAATGCTCATTACATCATGTGTCCTCCTTCATGTCCATCACCCAGCAATCCTGTCTCCCAACCCCCCTCCCATCCAGCAACCCTTAGTTTGTTTCCTATGATTAAGAGTCTCTTATGGTTTGTCTCCGTCTCTGATTTCGTCGTTTTATTTTTCCCTCCCTTCCCCTATGATCCTCTATTTTGTTTCTCAAATTCCACATATTAGCGAGATCATATGATAATTGTCTTTCTCTGATTGGCTTATTTCTCTTAGCATAATACCCTATAGTTCTATCCACGTCATTGCAAATGGCAAGATTTCATTTTTTGATGGCTAAGTAGTGTTCCATTGTGTATAGATACCCCATCTTCTTTATCCATTCATCTGTCACTGGACATCTGGGCTCTTTCCATAGTTTGGCTGTTGTGGACATTGCTGCTATAAACATTGGGGTGCAGGTGCCCTTTCAGATCACTACATTTGTATCTTTGGGGTAAATATCTAGTAGAGCAATTGCTGGGTTGTAGGGTAGCTCTATTTTCAACTTTTTGAGGAACCTCCATACTGTTTTCCAGAGTGGCTGCACCAGTTTGCATTCCCACCAACAGTTTAGCAGGGTTCCTCTTTCTCTGCATCCTCGCCGACATCTGTCGTTTCCTGACTTGTTAATTTTATCCATTCTGACCCATGTGAGGTTGTATCTCATTGTGGTTTTGATTTGTATTTCCCTGGTTTTATTGTATGTGTTGGCCATTTGTATGTCTTCTTTGGAGAAATGTCCATGTCTTCCGCCCATTTCTTGATTGGATTATTTGTTCTTTGGGTGTTGAGTTTGATAAGTTCTTTATAGATTTTGGATACTACCCTATTATCTGATAAGACATTTGCACAGCAAAGGAAACAGTTGACAAAACCAAAAGACAACCCACAGAGTGGGAGAAGATATCTATACAGTGATTTAAACTGAGGTTGCTAACAAATTTAAATGGATTACTAGAGGTCAAATACTGTTGCTTTCCGTTGTAATCCATATGGAATATTCCTAGGGCTTAACATCACCATAAATACCATGTGCTCTGGAATGACCTTCCCTACAAGGATCATTGGTCTTGGAATCCAAATAAGGGAGTTTAGTGACTGAATCATTAACAAGAAACCCTTGATGAAATGATTCTCCCTGTTAAGTGGTCCTAATAGTGTTAGAATCCAGCTCTTTTCCTTCAGGTAGTAGCATATTTGTGTCAAATCACTATACTTCGTATCAAACCAAAAGGACACAGGGAAGCTTCAAAGTTTATTAAAACCATGTTGACTGACATCAAGTAGCTTTTCCTTTCTTTGTAATTCCCAGATCAACAGTATCTTACAGTGCAATGTGCCAGGAAATCTACAAACTCAAAGCGTAGCTTTTCCTGCTATAAATTAAGCCCATTTCCTTATTGTTATCAACCAAATGCTTAATTATCACTCTCCTCTTTCACAATCCCTTCATAGAACTCAAGACTCTTTGGTCTTCCTCTACTTTTCCATCTCTACAAAAGGACATTGTTTTAAAACATCCTCCATTTTAATGACTCATCCAAAATCTACACCTAATTTAAAAACCAGGTAGAATATTCTCTGTGATGCCTGACTGCTCACTATGTACCAGGCACTGTTCATGATACCGTATATATATATATATATATATATATATATATATATATATATATATATATATATATATATATAATGATTACCTTATTTAATCCTCACACCAACTCTAAGAGGTAGTTCTGTTATTCTCATTTTACAGGTGAGGAACCTGAGGCACAGAGAGGTTATGTAGATGGCCCAAGGTCACACTATTGGAAGTCAGCAGAGCGAGTCTACTCATAACCACTGTTCTGCAAGCCTCATCCCTACGTTGAGCTTACTTGTTTGGTAGTCAACTTTCTAAACACTGATGATCACACGTACCTAATTGCCTTCAGAACATCCTTCTGGTAAGTAAATTATTGCAAGTCTAAAAGCTTGCTTGCTAATGGAACACACTCAAGTCATCAGAGAAAGAAATTATGCTCTAAACATGTCTAGTTCAGTGCCCTCCCCTCCCAGACTACTCCCGCCCTGCTTTTTTGTTTGTTTGTTTTGCAATTGTACCTTTGATTTCCAACTCCTTCTTCGTGTTGAATACATTGAATTTCACTTTAATTACCAGATACTGTCTGTGCAGCATTTAAAAATGAACTAAAAATGTAGAGATTACTACATAAAGAACTATAGAAAATTTTAGACTAGTACTGGTAGTTAAAAGTAAAAAACAAATGATAAAATGAAAAATATAAAAATGATATTTTGTTTGGAATTTTGCATAAGACAGGCTAAAAATCTTCCTTAGGAACAATTTTCTACAGGCCATATTCACGTTAACCACTACATGGTGTAAATGGGTATTTTCAGATGACTGGGGCAAAGCTAATAACTTCAAAGTGATAGAAATAAAAGCAAAGTGAAACCATATAACACTAAAACCCCAATTTCCAATAAGTCTCAATTTTAGTCCCTACTCCACCACCGAGTGCCCTTGGCCTTCCAACTGAGATTCAGTACACACCAATGACCTCTCCGTGTCACTGGTGTGCTTTCTTTGGCTCCCTAGCTCTTGACTGGGTTTCCCTCAAGTGCCATAGATGTTCTTGCAAAGGCCACTAAAGATAAAGGCTTTTATCACAGCTAATCTTTTCCCAAGGCAAATAGTATTCAGGGTGAAAAGAAAGCTCCTGGCTAATTTCTGTTGCTTAGAGAACCAAAACAGATAAAGGAATCGCCTTTAAAAATCGCCACCACACTGTAATATAATCAGGAACTGGGTAAATTCAACAATAGAAGGAAGTCAAATAGGCTGACCTTTCCCAAGTTGTTTTAAAACTGACATGTGAGTGGAAGTTACTGGTGTGGTTTTGTTGCAGCTTCTGTTTTCCTAAGGAATTTGGAATCTAAGCAGGGAAGTAGCCTGTTCTTTAAACTAGGAGTAGAACAAGAAAGAACACACCCATCCTTGGGGGGATGGGAGGGGTGATTATTCTAGCTGGGATCCAACTCCCCAAAAGATACAAAAAAAAAAAAAAAAAATCACCAACCATTAACTTAAACAAGAAGTATTATTTATCTTTTACTATTGACCTGCACTATTCCAAACACTGGTAGAGCCGGAGGGGAACAAGGATGCAAAAGGAATTTGGAATACCCTGAGTGAAAAAAAAAAAGGTCTCTCCTCTCAAGAAGCTTACAGCCTAATTTAGTATTGTTGTATTTTAAATATGTTTGAAAGTATTTAATTTTTTGCATCATCATTTGTCATTTTTAAAGTTATTTCTATAGTGTCGACATAAATTGGGATTCCTAAATTTTCTAACACGGTACCAAAATACTATGTATGTTGTACATTGTGTTTTCTTTTCATATAAATACTTAACAAGTTACCAAGAGGTAGGGGCCATTGGTAAGCCACATGTTTTTAGCTGGATTTATAAAATATGGTTCCTAGAACCATGTCCCAATGTGGTAAGTGGACTTATCCAATTTATACTTACCAGTCAAAAAGTAATGCCCCCAAGTGAAACGTGGCCAATACACTTCTAGCAACCAATACTAGAAGCAGAACCCCATGGTCATTTATTCCTTGGATTGTATCTTCACCCAGAATTGTTGCTGTGTTTGAAATTTTCAGCATCAAACCCGTCATCAAATTATGTTCTGTTTGTCTAGCTTTACTGCCCTTGCTTCCATTACTACCGCTGGAGTCCTCTGGGTCATGCTGATTTCCCATATTTCCTATTTCTTCTGGATTCTTGTCCAGTGTTACATGGTCCATAGCCTTAAATCTCTCACACCACATTCCACATTCTTTTGTCCTTCTCCCACACCTGTCCTCTGCATCCTTGATCTTAGATCACTTCATTATCTGTTTTATCTGTATCTGAGTTGGCAGAGAAAAATCTAATCACTGTGTTGAGGGCAGCATTGCAAACTCATATTTTTTAACCTAGCTATTCTACTTGTTCTTACTTCTCTTACTCATTTCCTGCAAAAATGCTGCTGACTTTTCATTCTCTTTAAGCCTTCCTCTTTATCCCCAAAACTCACATCAAGGTATGACCTTGCCTCATCTTTCATATAAAAAAATGACGCCATTAAGGCTTGACCCTTCTTGATTTCTCCTTACTGCAACTCACCAATATTTGCAAGCTATCCTTTTTATTTATTTTTTAAGATTTATTTATTTATTTGAGAGAGAGCAGGAGTGGGGGGAGGGACAGAGGGAGAGGGAAAGAGAGAATCCCAAGCAGACTCCCCGCTGGGCATAGAGCCCAATGTGGGGTTCCATCTCAGGACCCCAGATCATGACCTAAGCTGAAACCACGAGTCAGAGGCTCAACTGACTGAGCCACCCAGGAGCCCCTTGCAGGCTGTCTTTTCACTTCTGATATAAAAGCCACTTCTTTGCATGGCCACCCTGGGTCATTCTCTCCCAATGCAGGCAGTCAGTCCTCCGTTTTCTGAGCTCCAGTCACATGATGAATATAATCGCTATCAAAATTGATACTTTTTAGGGATAGGTTTCAAATTTCCTGCTCTCTACTAAACATATTTTAATTTTTAGCTCAGAAAATGTAGCCTGTAATACTTATAATATTTATGGGTTAACTTTTTAAAATAGGTAATACATTCATACTGTACAAAATTTGAAAGGTACAATGAGAAATCAGTAACATTTTTCCACTCCTGGAACTGGATACCCAGTTTCTTGTGTATTTCTCTAAAGATAATCTCTGGCACATGTAAGCAATTAAGTATATTCTCCCCCACCCACACTTTTTATACACATAGATACTATCATATTATACACACTGTTATACACCCATCACTTAACAATGGATACCAGAAATTATTCCGAGTCAGTATATAAAGTATTAACCTCTTTCTATCTTACAGATGCATGATTTGGTAGATTACGGATGGTCACAAATTCTTTGCCCCTCTTCTACTTAAAGAGATGGAGTCTATTTCCCTTCCCTTGTATCTGGGCTGCCCTTGTAACTTATTTTGTCAGTAGAATGAAGTAGAAGTGATGTTCTATAACTTCTTATAAGCCTTAAACAATCTGCAGCTTTACGTCCTGGGAACACTCCCTTCTGGAAGCTAGCCATCACGCTGGAAGAACACCAAGCGGTGAGGAGAGGCCACATAGATGAGAGTTTATGCTAATGCACTATGGTCAACAATCCCAGCTGATTTTCCATCCAACGGCCTGTACGAACTACCAGCCATGTGAGTGAGCCATCTTGGACATTTCAGCCTAACTGAATCTCCAGATAACTGCAACCCCAAAAGACATCACCTAGAACAGAACTTCTTAGCTAGGCCCAGTCACCCATAGAATTTTGAGAAAAGGTCAATAATTGCTATTGTTTTAAGCCCCTATGTTTAGGGTGGTTTGTGAATAACAATAAATAACCGAAAGCACATAGTTGTCCATCATATGGATGTACTTTATTTTATTTTATTTTTTTTTTAAGGTTTTATTTATTTATCTGAGAGAGAGAATGGGAGACAGAGAGCATGAGAGGGGGAGGGCCAGAGGGAGAAGCAGACTCCCTGCCGAGCAGGGAGCCCGATGCGAGACTCGATCCTGGCACTCCAGGATCATGACCTGAGCCGAAGGCAGTCGCTTAACCAACTGAGCCACCCAGGCGCCCCTGGATGTACTTTAATATATATAATCCAGCCTCTATTGATGGACCTTCAGGTTGTTTTTTCTTTTGCTCCTCTTTTGTTATTACAGATAATGTTGCAGCTAATCAACTGTGTGAGTGTATCTGTGGGATGAGTTCCTAAAGGTAGAATTGCTGGATATAAGAGGATATGCATTTATAGTGTTGATAGATATTTCAAAATTGTTATCCACAGAGATTTTACTAACTTACACTCTGTCAATAATATAAGAAAGTCACTGTTCTCGCACACCCTTACTAACACTGTGTTATCAGACTTTCTGATTTTTGTTAAATCTAATAAGCAGAAATATAGAATTTCTATCTGTAGTTCCATTTTTATAAATGAAGTTGAACATGTTGTAATATACTTTAGAGCCATTTATGTTTTCTCTTAAGTGACCAGTCCCTGTTCCTTGCCCAGATTCTGTTGGGATGTTGGTTTTTCAATTAACTTATAAAAATCCTTCCAGGAATTTAACCCTTTATTTATCATATAAGCAGTAAAGGGGTGCCTGGCTGGCTCAGTTGATAGAGCATGTATATGACTCTTGACGTCAGGATCATGAGTTCAAGTCCCATGTTGGGTGTAGAGCTTACTTTTAAAAAATAAATAAAATAAATATAAGCAGTAAATATTTTTTCCCAGTTTGTCATTTTTCTTTTGATTTTGCTTAGAATTATGTGGTCAAATTTATTACAGTGGAGTAGGGTCTTTCCCATTCTGATAGCAACGCTGCCTTAGATTCTTCTAGTACTTCTTTTTCATATTTTTATTTTAATTGCTTTTAGTATTTAAATATTCTCTAAGATATGGATCTACTACTTTTTTTTTTTTTTCTTTCCAGATGGCTTTCTGCTGTATTTCACAATCTATTCACAAGTCTTGCTTGTAGCCCTGGTATTCCTTAAGGACAGGAAACTTGTCTCTTTAATGACCTAATCCTGAAAACCTAGCGTAACAGCTCATACATAGAAGACTCTCAATAATATTGATAACCATTTGAGAGAAACTCTGGTTCTGCACTGAATTCCACAGATAAAACCACTCTCTTCTGACATCATCTGGGAGAATTTTGTTGAGAAAGAGCAAGAAAGCTTCATTTTAAACACCCATGTTGGAAACACTAGGACGTAAGTCTGGATGATACGGGAATACTTTTGAGTCTTTCTCTTCTCTAGCTTTATTTACTTATCCACCAGGTGTGACTGCTATTTCTTTTAATGCTAATCAATTAATACTACAAATGTCAAACACTTATTTATCACCTGCACATACACACCTCTACTAAGGTCTGCAATGTTGGTGGGTGGGTAGATACTTTAACCTTATCTAACCTCTGTACAATAGTTAATTTTAATTGCTTTTCACACTGGTTACACGATCTCCTAACTTCTTGGTAGTGGTATAACTCTGTAAAGAAACTGATTAAGAAGAGAAAAGAAAAAAAAACCAAACAAACAAACAACAAAAAACCCTGCTATGAAACTCTTAAAAAATAGATGTGAAATATGTTTTAAACACTATGTAAGCAAATATAAAAATACGTAAACCAAAGGAAACACGTTGCTTTCATTGCTTGCTTTGGGTGCTGCCTCTCTTCTCCCAAGGAGTGTCACTGCCTTAAACGGTATTCCTCAATAGACACTACCTGCTTCTGTAAATCACCTTCAGATTTATCTGAGGATCAAAACTCTTTACCACCCGGTCACCGCTTTAACTCTAGTATTCCACGTGACTAACCTTTTTAATGGTTCTTTGTAATCTCTCCGATCAGGGAATATATGAAGGCGAGCACGGGTGCACGCAAACAGATTCTATCTTGCTTCTTCTCACGCCTGTGTGCTTCAGTCAAAAGAGGAAATGTTTTAGCAATAAAGGATGGTGAGAAACTTAAAACACCACTGAAATATTACTTGAGATGAGCTATGGTTGAGAGGAGCCAAAAGGATGACACGAGGTCGTTCTTTCTTTCCAAGTACGGCCACTTCCCTGTTAACAGAAATATTACAAATAATGATTAAAACATTTACTCAATCCCCCTTAAATGAATCAGGTACCCCTTTTCCATGGGCCAACTGTATTTACACATGGCTTTCCCTTGTGTTTCCCAAAGACTGCAATAAAAACATTCTCCTGTGGTGCTTAAGTTGAGTTGGCATATTTCTCTAACTAAAATTTTGGTTACTGGCTTTTATGCTAGATGTACACATTTCACATAGTGGCTGAACATATAACAATGGTTTTTGAAGCTTGATAATAATTTATATGGCTAAAATATACTAAATATTAAATGACACAATATTCTATAATAAAAAACAATATTTACCGTATTACTTGATCATATATATTTATATCCAAATGCACCCATTTATAATATATCAGGGCATAACAGCTCCAGTTTGTTTGAAGAACATCGCTTGATAAAGAGCAATGAAGACAGAGGAGTTGATGGACTTTCTTCTACCTCCTTCCCCTGCCACGGCCCTTATAATTCCCCCAAAAGAGTTTATTCATGTTTTCAATTTGAAGTCCCCTTTTAATCAGGAATATAGCATATTGAACATGTATTGTAGTGATTTAGAATTGGTCAAAATTTCTTTGACATTTCTCCCACCGAGAGGTGGTGTCCACGTCCTTCATTCCTAGAGTCTGAATGGGCTCCGTGACTATTTTGACCAATAAAAGTGTAGCGGAAGTGAGCTGTGCCAGTTTCTGAGACTAGGCTATAAGACATTGGCAGCTTCTACTTCCTGTCCCTTGGAACACTCTCTTAAATTCCACCCCTGGGAGAAGCCAGTGGCCATGCAGTTAGTCTGACTATCCTGAGACAGCGCTGTCCGCTGTCCCAGACATCCCAGCCCAGGCACCAAGACCAGTGTCAAGGAACCACCTTAGGCCTTCTAATCCTAGCAAACACCTCATGAAGAAGAATGAAGATCCCAGACATATGACCCCAATCTAGCTATCCCAGCGGTCTCCAGCTATTCAAGCAACCCCAGCTGGTGGGGCGGCCACAAACATGTATCGGAGACAAGCTGTCCCTACCCTGTCTGCTCTAATCCCTGACCCACAGAATCATCATGGATACTATCATTATCTTGATTCTGGTGATGGTTTCACAGGTGTGTCATATGTGTGTGTACCAAATTGTGTCCTTTATGTGTGCAGTTTATTGTATATCAATTATACATCAACAAAGCTTTAAAAAAGAAAAAAATAAATTATTGTTGTTTTATACCACTGAGTTTTCAGGTGGCTTGTAATCTGACACTAGATCACCTGAATATGCATCTTCTGCATTTTATGTTTATTTTTTCCTGTTATTTATTAAAATGCTATTAAAATATAAACTTGACATATAAATTTAAAATATATACCAAGCATTGTTTTTTATAATATTTCATTTGTTTTCATCTAATGTCTATAATCAAGGCTATACAATAATTATATGTGTTTGACATTTAAAAAAAAATCACATTATAGATTATTAGTAGTAGTATTGGTATTATTTCTGACTTGTGATTTTCCCACCAGAACAGATTCTAGGCATGCAGTATATTCACATATGAAATGTTTCTAGATTGTAGTCCTTTCCCTAGAACATATTAGGTGTTCAACAAATGTTTGCTAAAATAAAAAATGAAGTATGGCAGATTCTTAAATAGAAATCTGTCCTTTGAAAAGAAATCTTTATCTAAAGCATCTTAATTAAAACATATTGCAAATGATTTCAGGGTACCAGCAGAGTATCTAAGGTAGATTACTCAATATTGAACCAAAAAGTGCAGATACTAGGAAATAAATAATAGCAAACATTCCTAGTAATGCCACTTTTTATTCTCAGCTTACACATGAGAACACTGAGGTTCAGATAGATAAAGTAGTGCAGCTAATATTATAAAAAGTTTGCAGAGCCAGATCGTGACTCCAACACCCAAGTGCCTAATCACTATTTCATTCTTGTACTTTCATTAGGAAATAACATTATAATCACAAGTCTCACCAATAAGATCTATAAAAGAACAAAAAAGAAAAGTCAATAATCTTTATTCTGCCTGTTTCTTCTTTATCGTAGGTCAGATGTGCATGATGATTATTATTATAACTACATGTTATGAAAAATTAATGAGTGGTAAAACTAAATTAAAGATTTTCACACAAAGAATCTTTAGAAAAATCAACTTCTGGTCAAAATACCCTCATTTAACCAAATCTAAAACCACATTCAACCATTGTTCTCTATTAATAATCTTAGGAAGCATTTGGAAGATACCATATTTCCCAAAGACTTCAAGGAGCAAATAAGGGAAGTGACAAAATTAAAAATAGAGAACTTTTGTTTAAAAGTTTTAATATTAAAAATAGCACACATTCATATTTACGCCTGATTTGATAATATATATTAGATATATATTTATATTAAATACATATCACTATAAAATATATTTATGTATTTATAAAAATATATATCAAATCAGGCATAACTATGAATGTGTGCTCTATTATTAATTTTTATATATAAATTTATATATATGAAATATGTATTTATTACTTGCAAGTATACTTTTGATAACAAAATTTGAATTCAGAACAGAAAGTAGGGAGGAAACATGCTTTATGAACAACTAGTTTTAACAAGGCTTCTTTTTTTTAATATATATTTTTTAAGATTTTATTTATTTATTTGTCAGAGAGCACAAGCGTGGATGGGGGGAGGGCAGCAGGCTTCCCGCTGAGCAAGGAGCCCAATGAGGGGCTCGATTCCAGGACCCTGGGATCATGACCTAAGCCGAAGGGAGGCGCTTTGCCCACTGAGCCACCCAGGCATCCCTTAACAAGTCTCTTGACCTAAACAAACAAAAAAATCATGCATTTTCTCAATAAATATGCTTATTCTGTGTTTTAAGTCTCAAGAAATTATGGCAGAAATGCTTCAGAAGAAATAGTCTTTTTACTGATTGTATATTAAGTTCTTCTTTGTTCACTAAGCATTAATAAGCGTGAAAAATCTTTGTGCTCTGTAAGAATGCTAAAAAATGTAGATTTTCTCAAGAGATTTGAATAATAACTTTCATTATTGTTCAGAAGAAACTCTGGTATTTGCATATTTTTGGTTTGTTTAGATAAGTTCATCATTGGAATTCTGATATTTCACTTCTAGACTGCAAAGAATTTTAAATTTAGAAGCTATATACCAATAAATTAAAAAAATTAAAATTCTCATTCAAAATTTTTCAAAATTCTTAGCAATAACTTATGCTTTTTAAAGATTTTATTTTTTAAAATTTATTTATTTGTCAGAGAGAGAGAGAGCACAAGCAGGGGGAGCGGCAGGCAGAGGGAGAAGCAGGCTCCCCGTGGAGCAGGGACCCCGTTGCGGGACTCAATCCCAGGACCCCGGGATCATGACCTGAGCTGAAGGCAGACACTTAACCAACTGAGCCACCCAGGCATCCCAATAATTTATGCTTTTTAAAATATCAGGAAGCATATGAGAAAAGGAAAATAAGACATTCTTTGCACTATTGTAATCCAATTCATGAACTAGTTAGCACACTAAAGACAGGGGAAAATGACCCTTGTAAGATAATTCATTTTTCTAGTTAATAATTAATATTTTATAATATGACCTGACCAAGTCTACAGGCCCCTTTTTCTTTACAATTTCACCAAGTGTCTTCAAATCTATTAAAATGTTATCTATTTTAGATGATCTATTGCCTTATCCAATGTTTGCCAATTTTTCAAAAACATTAAAATAAGTAGCTCTAGTTGGTAGTTTGCTTAGAAAAGAATATTACCTTATGTTCAGTTAAATTCAACTTCTTCAAAACTTCTTCACAAAAGCCGCTAATTAATCCTGCCATAGGAGCCTCTGGGCTATACAATGAATATAATTTTTCTTTAAAAATTACCAATTTCACTGACACATACCCCTGTTTTAGTATTTTGCTGGTGAAATTAGTAATGTCTGTTCACCAACATGTTCTATTTAGTGCACTGCTTCATCAAGTGCCAACATGGAAATCTGCATGACTGGTGATTGCTGAGTCTTCTCAAACTTATACATTTCCAGACATTTTTCTTACTACATGGGTAAGGTGCTATGTTGATAAATGTTGATGACATTTAAATATGATTATATAGCAGTAATTAGAGGGTAAGAAAAAAATTGCAATGCTTCCCATTTCTTTGAAATTGTATAAACAGACGGCTTCTCGGCGTGAAACCCCAACTAAAATTAGGGATGTGCCAGCACTTAAATGCATAAGCCCATTTCATTTGAGTAAAATAAATATTGAGTTTCATCTATCTTTTAGCACATTCTCAAGTAGCATCTTAATAAAATTTAAACTGATTCATTTATTGAATTCTATAACTTTAAAGCATAATCTACCGTGAGCCAATTTGAGCATCATTTATATTACTTACATTAAATAAGTTTAAATCTATAAATGTATAATGGTATTCATCAAATATCATCGTTGGTCACCTTTGAAAGGCATTAGGGAATCAACTCATTATTCTGAAAATCAACAAATAAAGGGAAAGAATTAAACATTTACTCTGCCTTTCCATTAAGAAAGGACAACCCATGGACAACCAAATGGTTGATGAAGGAAAGTTTCTCTTTATAGAAATAACTGAACAAATAAATAAAAAGGAATGAACACCATTTGGCAACTCTATATTAATTAATGGATTTAAGCAAAAATCAATGGCTTTAAATGTCACAAAAAGAGAAATGACTGAACATTGTGTGCCTCCTGAAAGAAATACAACATCACCTGTGATATAGTCCTTTGAATCTGAATCTGATCTGATCAATTTACAGAAAATATAAGAAATATAGGAAAGACAAAGTAATGTATTAAATGATAGCATGAGGTGCAACCAGCAAAATCCATACCGTGGACATTTAATGAACAAATAACTCAGTTTCTGGTACAAGTAAATTGCAAGGGAAAATAGAGATGGATAAATTC